TCACGGCTTTCGTTGAGGAAAAAGACAGTCAAAACCTGAGGGTGTGGGGTGGGCTGGTGAAGCACGAGAAAAACAAAACTTGGTGGTGGAAAAAAAAAAAAAAAGAAAAGAAAAAAAGAAAAAAAAAAGTGGAATGAAGCCAGAGAAGGGCACCATTCCCAGAAGATTTCAAGGTCTGCAAATGGAGCAGCTAGCTTTTGAGGCCAAAGAATTTAAATTGTAGCATTTAGATTCATGCTTAGTTTTGTTTTTCTGTTGTTGGGTTTTTGGGGTTTTTTTTTGACAATCCCTTTGCTTGTTTTATTCCTCTGAAATCCTGGGTGAAGGTGGGGTTCGCTTAGAGGTAATCTCGGACGGAAGAAAACTATTTGAGCTCTCCTGAAGGAAACTGAGCCAAAGCTGAAGAGCTCCCCGTACCCCCGCCTGGCACCAGGTGGCAAGAGTGCTGCTGTTGGCAGCTTTAGCACTTCACACACCCAAAAAACACAAGGAATACCGACCTGAGTCAGCACTGAGGTGATGCCAACTTTACAAGGAAGTTAAGAGCCTATTTGCTCTTGTACGTTACCTATAAAACACAGCCGAAAACACCCGAAGTGGCAGAAATCCTAAATCCTGGTAAAATCTGTGCTATTTACCTCGATAAAGCATCTGGTGGTGTTTCTAGGACAGGAAAAATTTATAGAAAACACCTTTATGTTTTGGCATAAAGAGCTTCAAGCTCAAGTTTTTTTAAAATCTTGAACATGAAATGTGCTTTTGTGTGCCCAGAGCCCGGCAGCGAGCTGAGTTAGCGCACAGGTAGTTGGGCACTTCTTAGGGATGCCCAGACCTTGCTGCTCTGATACGAGTTTTCATACTGAACCGCCTGAGAGAATTAGTTTCTTCTCACCAGGGAAAGGAGCTCTGTGTTACCTGCTCTGAAATCTCGCTGCTCTTGGGACAACATTCGTTGTCGAGGGTTTGCACTGCAAAGTCAGGGTTAAATGTGGTCCGGAGGTTAAGACGGAGGAAGAAGTGTGGTGATACCAAAGCCGGGAGCTCCACATTGTGGTAATCACAGAATGACAGAAAGATATAGGGTTGGAAAGGACCTCTGGAGATCATCTAGTCCAACCCCCCTGCCAAAGCAGGTCCACCCAGAGCAGGTTGCACAGGAACGTGTTCAGGTGGGGTTTGAATGTCTCCAGAGAAGGAGACTCCACCACCTCCCTGGGCAGCCTCTGCCAGGGCTCTGCCACCCTCACAGGAAAGAAGTTCCTCCTCATCCCAGGGGTGTCCCTGGCTGTGGGGCAACCCTGGCGTGCCTTAGGGGGTGTCTGTGGGTGTGGGATGCTCCTGGAGGTTTCCCTGGCTGTGGGGCAACCCTGGGGTGCCCTGTGGGGTGTCAGTGGGTATGGGATGCTCCCGGGGGTGTCCCTGGCTGTGGGGCAACCCTGGGCTGCCCTGTGGGGTGTCAGTGGGTATGGGATGCTCCCGGGGGTGTCCCTGGCTGTGGGGCAACCCTGGGCTGCCCTGTGGGGTGTCAGTGGGTATGGGATGCTCCCGGGGGTGTCCCTGGCTGTGGGGCAACCCTGGGCTGCCCTGTGGGGTGTCAGTGGGTATGGGATGCTCCCGGGGGTGTCCCTGGCTGTGGGGCAACCCTGGGCTGCCCTGTGGGGTGTCAGTGGGTATGGGATGCTCCCGGGGGTGTCCCTGGCTGTGGGGCAACCCTGGGCTGCCCTGTGGGGTGTCAGTGGGTATGGGATGCTCCCGGGGGTGTCCCTGGCTGTGGGGCAACCCTGGGCTGCCCTGTGGGGTGTCAGTGGGTATGGGATGCTCCCGGGGGTGTCCCTGGCTGTGGGGCAACCCTGGGCTGCCCTGTGGGGTGTCAGTGGGTATGGGATGCTCCCGGGGGTGTCCCTGGCTGTGGGGCAACCCTGGGCTGCCCTGTGGGGTGTCAGTGGGTATGGGATGCTCCCGGGGGTGTCCCTGGCTGTGGGGCAACCCTGGGCTGCCCTGTGGGGTGTCAGTGGGTATGGGATGCTCCCGGGGGTGTCCCTGGCTGTGGGGCAACCCTGGGCTGCCCTGTGGGGTGTCAGTGGGTATGGGATGCTCCCGGGGGTGTCCCTGGCTGTGGGGCAACCCTGGGCTGCCCTGTGGGGTGTCAGTGGGTATGGGATGCTCCCGGGGGTGTCCCTGGCTGTGGGGCAACCCTGGGCTGCCCTGTGGGGTGTCAGTGGGTATGGGATGCTCCCGGGGGTGTCCCTGGCTGTGGGGCAACCCTGGGCTGCCCTGTGGGGTGTCAGTGGGTATGGGATGCTCCCGGGGGTGTCCCTGGCTGTGGGGCAACCCTGGGCTGCCCTGTGGGGTGTCAGTGGGTATGGGATGCTCCCGGGGGTGTCCCTGGCTGTGGGGCAACCCTGGGCTGCCCTGTGGGGTGTCAGTGGGTATGGGATGCTCCCGGGGGTGTCCCTGGCTGTGGGGCAACCCTGGGCTGCCCTGTGGGGTGTCAGTGGGTATGGGATGCTCCCGGGGGTGTCCCTGGCTGTGGGGCAACCCTGGGCTGCCCTGTGGGGTGTCAGTGGGTATGGGATGCTCCCGGGGGTGTCCCTGGCTGTGGGGCAACCCTGGGCTGCCCTGTGGGGTGTCAGTGGGTATGGGATGCTCCCGGGGGTGTCCCTGGCTGTGGGGCAACCCTGGGCTGCCCTGTGGGGTGTCAGTGGGTATGGGATGCTCCCGGGGGTGTCCCTGGCTGTGGGGCAACCCTGGGCTGCCCTGTGGGGTGTCAGTGGGTATGGGATGCTCCCGGGGGTGTCCCTGGCTGTGGGGCAACCCTGGGCTGCCCTGTGGGGTGTCAGTGGGTATGGGATGCTCCCGGGGGTGTCCCTGGCTGTGGGGCAACCCTGGGGTGCCCTGTGGGGTGTCAGTGGGTATGGGATGCTCCCAGGGGTGTTCCTGGCTGTGGGGCAATCCTGGGGTGCCCGGTGGGGTGTCTGTGGGTGTGGGATGCTCCCAGGGGTTTACCTGGCTGTGGGGTGATCCCGGGGTGCCCTGTGGGGTGTCTGTGGGTATGGGATGCTTCCAGGGGTGTCCCTGGCTGTGGGGCGATCCCGGGGTGCCCTGTGGGGTGTCTGTGGTTGTGGGATGCTCCCGGGGGTGTCCCTGGCTGAGGGGCAACTCTGGGGTGCCCTGTGGGGTGTCTGTGGTTGTGGGATGCTCTCGGGGGTGTCCTTGGCTGTGGGGCAACTCTGGGGTGCCCTGTGGGGTGTCTGTGGGTGTGGGATGCTTCCGGGGGTGTCCCTGGCTGTGGGGCGATCCCGGGGTGCCCTGTGGGGTGTCTGTGGTTGTGGGATGCTCCCGGGGGTGTCCCTGGCTGAGGGGCAACTCTGGGGTGCCCTGTGGGGTGTCTGTGGTTGTGGGATGCTCTCGGGGGTGTCCTTGGCTGAGGGGCAACTCTGGGGTGCCCGGTGGGGTGTCTGTGGGTGTGGGATGCTCCCAGGGTTTTACCTGGCTGTGGGGCAACCCTGGGGTGCCCTGTGGGGTGTCTGTGGGTGTGGGATGCTCCCGGGGGTTTACCTGGCTGTGGGGCAATCCCGGGGTGCCCTGTGGGGTGTCTGTGGGTGTGGGATGCTCCCGGAGGTTTCCCTGGCTGTGGGGCGATCCCGGGGTGCCCTGTGGGGTGTTTGTGGGTGTGGGATGCTCCCAGGGGTGTCCCTGGCTGTGGGGCGATCCCGGGGTGTCCTGTGGGGTGTCTGTGGGTGTGAAATGCTCCCGGGGGTGTCCCTGGCTGTGGGGCGATCCTCGGGTGCCCTGTGGGGTTTCTGTGGGTATGGGATGCTTCCGGGGGTGTCCCTGGCTGTGGGGCGATCCCAGGGTGCCCTGTGGGGTGTCTGTGGGTGTGGGTATGCTCCCGGAGGTTTCCCTGGCTGAGGGGCAACTCTGGGGTGCCCTGTGGGGTGTCTGTCGTTGTGAGATGCTCCCGGGGGTGTCCCCGGCCGCGGTGCTATCCCGGGGGCAGTCCGAGGGCGTGGGACACCCGCCCCCCGGGCGCTCCCGGTGCCGCCCCGCCGGGGGCAGCTCCTCCCCGCAGGCGGCGTTTCCCTCCGGGCGGGCGGAGGCGGCGCCGGGCCCCGACGGCGGGCGGTTTAGCCCCATGGCGCTGGCGGCGGCCCGAGCGCGGGTGCTGCGGGCCCTCAGCCTCCCGTCCCATGCGGGAGGGCCGCCGG